GAACAGAAACTGTTTCTGGCACCCTGCGCGGGTCAGCGTCAGACTGGAGCGCAGGGCGGTGGGTAATTCCCCTGCAGGCTGGCATCTGTTGAGGTGCGAGGGCAGCCTGAGATCTGTTCGTAAGACTAAAGGGATCTGATTGGCTGGCCTTAGTGTAGCTGAAGAGATTTTGGTACTTTATGAACCTCCTCATTCCCTTTCATGCCATCATGGCTCCCGTCCCCTCCTGGCTTCAGTAGCTCCTATTCTGCCATCACTGGCTCCTGTCCTCTCCTGGCTTCAGTAGATCCTATTCTGCCATCACGGGCTCCTGTCCTCTCCTGGGTTCAGTAGCTCCTATTCTTCTATCACTGGCTCCTGTCCTCTACTGGCTTCAGTAGCTCTTATTCTTCCATCACTGGCTCCTGTCCTCTACTGGCTTCAGTAGCTCTTATTCTGCCATCACTGGCTCCTCTCCTGGCTTCAGTAGCTCCTATTCTCCCATCACTGGCTCCCGTCCTCTCCCGGCTTCAGTAGGTCCTATTCTTCCATCACTGGGCCCTGTCCCCTCCTGGCTTCAGTAGCTCCTATTCTCCCATCACTGGCTCCCGTCCCCTCCTGGCTTCAGTAGCTCCTATTCTCCCATCACTGGGCCCTGTCCTTACGCCCATTGCTTGCAGGGATAGGCTCCGGCTCCCCTGTGACCCTGTGCTGGATAAAGCAGTTAGAAGATGGATGGATGGGTCATGTCCGCTTTTGGCTGCACTGGATCCCTCCCTTGCTTCTTGCATGTATTGAGGTTTCTGCTGGCAGAGGGCATGGCTGCTGTATTGGCTCGATGCTCGCCACTCCCAGCTAAGGATACAGTGCTTCCAGAAAGTAGATGGACCGACAGGTGCAGGTATACCAGGAAATATGAAAGTGCAAAGCATTAGTTCAAAGCCAACGAAAAGGATGAGCAAATGGGTTGGATGTTGTTGTTGTTTTTTTTTAATTTTTTAATTTGTGTGAGGCAGAAACGTGCTCGTCCTTTCAAAGAAAAAAAAAACAGATTTTCATCTGTAGACGTCTGTCGTCGCCAACGGCGCCGTGTGTTCGGATAACCACGGAGCTGATTTGCAATGCTGAGGTGCCCCCCTGTCTTCTTGCCCCAATGCGATTTGAGGGGTTGTTTTTTGGGGGGCGCTAGCTTCTATAGGCACAGAAAAAAGGACCCAAAGTGAAATGTAGTTTTGTATGCGTTTAGAAAGTGAGGGAATGGCTCTGTTTTCCTCCTCGTGATTTCCCTGGCTCCGGCGGCCGGACGCAGCACAGGCTGCCTGCTGGGATGGTGTTGTAGTAACGGAAAACGGCGCAGTGATTCGGGACAGACGCCAACGAGGGCGTCAAAAGCATCTCAGCTGCGGGATAATTCCCCTTTGTGCTCCACTCGGTTTCCAGCGGACCCTGACCCGCGTCCCCCCACACACACTCGGCACTCTTTCCCTGTCCTGAAGGGCCTCGAGGCAGTGGACTCATTTTTCACTTCTGGTGGCGGTGTTTTTTCTTTCAGTTTCTTTCCATTTCTTCTTCTTTTTTTTTCTGGTCTTTTTTTCTCCTTTCTTCTTCCTCTTCTTGCTGCGCCGAGCTCGGCGAGCGCTGCGCTCTGCTCGCTGCAGCGAGATGCTCGGTTGACTGTACTGCGCTGTCTTGCTCACCGGACGGGCCTGAAATCTAGCTGCCTCAGGTCGCCAGAAGAGAGCCGTCATACCCCCCTCTCAGCCGCTTAAAATGCGTCAAGCTTTAGTTTATTCTTGCTTAGAAGCTAACCGCCTAATGAGCTTCGAGATCCTGCGCTGTTCGTTTGCTGTCGCATATTTTGGAGCCAAATTGTTCATCATCCGTAAATGTCAAGGTTTGAATCCTAGATGTTGTGACATCAGATCCCACCCCAATCACAGTACACATAGGGTGTACAGGGGGTACACATAGGGTATAGATGGTGGCAGCTGTAGAGATAATTGTTTTTTTTTTACATTTGACTTGAAAAAGTGGACCGCGGTTTATATGCATTGCGATTGAGAGGGCTGTATTTCCCGCGGGGAGTGAGTCCGCTGCTACCCTGAGCGTGATGCCACTGCGGGGCATGTTTCGCGTCAGTAATTCCAGCTCCCTGAGCTCGAGCTCATTAAACACCCTGTGTGTAGCCCTTTCTGCACCTCCTTAAACTCTTCCTTCAAGGTCTGGCCCTCTTGGTTCCTGCGATGCTCCTCTCTGCTCGTTCGTGTGAGGCACTGCGCGGCGCGATGTTTGTGTACCGCGCTACGATGCACAAAGCCAAACTGCGCACACACTGGCCTAGCGCTGTCTCTCGTGTGTTCTTAGAAGTAACACTCAGAAGCGCTACGCCTTAAAACATTTGGGCATGTGTGTAAATGACTGTGCATGTTATGCGTTTATTCAGATTTACAGTATATATATATATGTGCTTCATAAATGTGGCTTAATTTCTGTAGTCTGACATTGCCCTGTTGTTTCAGCCCTGCAGTGTCGGGACACGAAGGAGCCCTGTGTCAATAATGGGACCTGCGTCACATTCAGAAACGGCACCGGTTACTGCAGGTAAGTCTGTCTGGGCAAAAAGGCTAAATGCTTTTTGAATTGTGATATAAATAGACATAAGTGCACAGAATGCGTGTTTGCATGTCTGGTGAGGGCCTGTGAGGGTCTCTTCTGGTCTTGTTAAAGGGTGTGCAAGGTGCTTTGCAAAAGTCATGCAGTGCAAGATAAGAGTACCACAATAGGGAAACGGCAGGTCTCCATGATTCTGTAAATCAGCCAATACATATGTTTTTGAACATAGTATGCACAGAAGGACACAGAGGATGGGCGGTGAAGGACGGGGCCTGTGTGTTTGAGAGCTGGCAGCTTGTTTATGTGATGAGAATTGGGAAACAGCAGTGAAGGAAAAGTCTATTGCAAAACAAGGTGGGGCTGTATTAAAGATCAGCTGTTGAGGTGATTTCATTGCACTGCGTCAGCATTTCCTTCTTCTTTCGCTGGCACTGGGAGAG